TGTCTATAGCATGTAAAACTTTTACACTGCCTAATGTCAGGCTCTTGTTTTCTACTATTTATTGTGTTTTAACCAATTTAACTCCAAGCAAAACCAAAAAGAAAAAAATTGTGGGGAGAAGTTGAAAGTAAAGGTCTTGTTTTGCCCCATTACCTCCCACCTGTCACACAATCTCCACCCCCTGAAGAGAAATCCTCCTGTCACTGTGACTTCCAGTTGAAAGCAGAAAGGAAATAAGGTGACTTCTGGAAAAAGCTGTACATTGTGTTCTTAATTATTTGCTTTTATTTTTCAGGACTTAAATATGCCTAGAGAGTGAGTGAGGGCATGAAAAAGCTGAACGAAGAAGAGTCAGCTGAAAGTATCACCTAGACTTGCTTGTTAGAGATTCTAAGGTAGATATGTGTACATACTTATGCATAAGGGCAAAATAACCTACATAATCACCCCCCATGTATGGGAAATATTTACGTATATATTCATGCACTGAAAAATCTTTAAGTACATGTGTGCAGAGATTCCGTTCTATGAAAGCTCAGCTAGCTGTCTGCATGCATGTATTCACTTCTAGAGTAAAGGCATTTTTGTTGCTCCCATAGTTTCTTTCCATTAAGAGCGATTAGATGATGTCTATTCAAAGTTGCTGATCCAGAGAGAAAATAAGAGTAGATAAAAGGAGATTTCAAGTGACCTCCTCGTCCCTTTCACACCAACCTGAGCCCTAGAATAGCCAAGGATCAACTAACACAAAAGCCCTTTCCTTTCTCTTTTCAGCTTCAGAAGATTTTATGCAGGGGTGTAACAATAAAACATAGAACGATCCCTGAGTTTTGTTAGATCATGCATTTGGAATACTTTATTAACTCCCCCCAAAGATGGGCTAAGTTTATTTTCCACCTTTGAAATGTGTAAATAAAATATACATAGCATAACAAAGGGCATAATTGTTTACTGTTCTATTGCTTATATCAGTGATGTACTATGCTTATGCTTTTTCTTTATTTAAACTTTATGTAAACCCCTTTCTCCTCAATGATGGAGGACACTGTGATAAACACATCTGTCCACTGACAGTTTAGAAAGAAATGTTAGGTTTATTATTTAGATCAGCCTTCTGATAGGTAAATACAATTGCAGCATGACTCGTAACACCAGCAGATCTGCTGGCTTTTTGAGCCAATGCTTTTCCACTAGTTTATCTCATAGTCAGTGAAGAAAGTGACATTAAAGATTTAAACATATTCGAGCAGTCTTTAGTCAGTGAAATATCCAACTTAGATCTACTTCTGTTGGGCTAATCCTGTAGTAAAAGAAATAGGTGCTCTGACAGGTAACTATTAAGGGAAATGATTATATAGCGCAGTTGATTGTATTGTCAGGGTACTCTAACAACCTTCAAACTCATTTCAAAACTTCAGCTTTCATCCAAACCTAACCCATTTTCCCTGGGAAGAATAGCCATGCAGTTTTATTCTTCACTCAAGTTGGGCATTTAAAATAAATATGTTTTGTAACATAAAAGTCTTCAGTTATTTCCTTTTTTCTTTTTCATAAATGCATTTAGATAGCTAAGACTTGATTTTATAAAAAGTAAATATTTGGCTCTGGCTTAACTGGTGTGCTAAGAATGATTGTCACTTTTCCTCCTCTAAAAAGGCTTGATTTGCATCCAAAGGTCACTGCTTGCTCTCCTGCCATCTTTCGGGGCTGCTTCTCCTGGGCCCTCTAACTGGGGGCCTAGGCCAAAAGGAGAAGTGCTTCCCTTATCTCTCTTTTTAAAAACATGTGCTTTAAATGACTGGTTTGAGATAGAAAACTAAACTAAGGTATAGCACTTATCTCTGAGATTTTAGACCCAAAAGTGACAAAGAAGAAATGCCTGGGCTACCACAGCGATAATGAACACTGGAGTCTGTTGGGTTCCTGGTTTGACTATATGTGCAAGCTAAGAGTAGGCAGTCCAGCAGATGCCTGACTCCTAACTTGGCCTGTCCACCTTGTTTTTTTTTGATAAAGGCAGAATATTTTACAACTGGGCAGCCACAATATAGGCTGGATTCAGTAGAGATTTCTGAGATAAGCTGAGGTTTTGTTTGCTTGTTTTGGTTTTGTTTTTTAGTAATCACAAAACATTAGGTGGGCATTCCTGCGCCTCTCTCCACCCTTTCTTCCAAAAGATCTGTGTGAGACCATTTTAAATACATCTTCAACTATGCCCTTCCTGGCTTTAATCTCATGCCAGGGGAGACTAATTGATTCGGCACCTTTCAAATAAGCTCTTTGGGAAAGGTCTGCAGCAAGATCAGAGGCACTGACCTTTTTCCCAATGATTGCAGGCATGTTCATCTCTCCAGATGGGCTTGATAAAACAGGGCTAGTTCTGTTCTGTGGTCTTACTAAACAGAATAATACCATTTTTAACGATTTTGAGGTAGGGAAGAGGTATAAAAGGGAATTTCCTACACATATCTGGTCATTTGTAGGGTCCCATGGCTCTTGAACTAGATTTAGAAAATGTTTTTACAAGGCCACTTTTGTTCAGTGTGACTTACCAAAAAGTCAAAATGAATGACTTTCAGGAGACCAAGATATCAATATCAAAAAGACCATAGAATTAGTAAAGAATGGTTCAGTCTTGTCCTAAGAAAGACATGGAGGGAGGAGGTATGTTAATAGGCTAGAAAGTCCGCTTATAGCCGGACTCTGGGCCCTGGAACGCAAGTCAACACCGAATGTGCAGCCAAACCGATCTGTGCCTCTCTACCTCTCTCACCAGATCACAGCAGTTTACTGGTGGCTGGGAGAGATCAAGCGTTTTCTGGTAGGTCTTTTAAAACGTGATTAACGCTGAGCTTGATTCTAGCAGCCCGCAAGGGGTACTACATAGGCTTACAGCCTAATTCCTTTCCCCAAGCGGAGCGGTACCTTCTCATCGCCTTTTGGGGGAACCACACCAAAGACCTAGTGTGCACTGATCAGGATCAGGAAGGCAGAAGAAGGAAGGGAGGCCCCCAGGAGCCCAGGACCTTGGCGAGGCCCTTTGAGTTCCCAGGCCCGCCAAACAGGGAGAGAGAGAGAGAGAGAGAGAGAGAGAGAGAGAGAGAGAGAGACCGACCCTGGAGAGGGTGGGCCTGGCTGGAGGCCTCGGGTAGGATGCTGAGGCAAGAGCCAAGAACCACGTCCAGACTCAGCTTAAGGCTCCGGGGTGAAAGGCCTGGCCTAGAAGGGAGGGAGAGAGATCTAAAGGGGGGTGGGGGGCCTGTGAAAGAAAAGTGGACACTGCAACTGTGTTTCCTGATCCCGCAGCTGAGCGTGCCTGGACTAGTATGTGGAGTTTCCCAATTAGGGGATCCAAGTACTCTAGAAAACTATTATCAGTTTTCTGTTAGGTACCCTACCCAACAACAACAGATATCGTTATTTCCTTGTTGAGTGTGGGTTGCATTAGGCCCGGAACAAGTGTGCCAAGTGGGACCAGTATCAAACGACAGCCTTGAAGAGAGAAAGAAAGGGCTCCCCAGGAACTGAGCTGACCCCTCAGTGCGTCTACGGAAGACTTTTTTGCTGGAGGCAGTGCTGTGAGCACAAGTTGGGCGCCCTGTGGGGACACAAGCTTCGGAAGAGAAACTGAGCTCTAAGTGCCGCTCAGGCCGGACGAGTCCGAGAGGGGGACAGCGCCCTTCTCGAAAAGCCTTGGTTTCTCTCCGCCCCCTCTTGTGACAGAAAGTTGGCGCGGATGCCCCACAGGAGTGCGAGCCGCTCCCCTCCTCCGAAAAGCCGCGAGCTTCGACTGCTCCGGGTATCACCACCAACAGCTTCCCACTCCCACCCCTGGGACGAGGGCAAGGAACTGCACCCTCCCCCTTCCTTCCTGAGGAGCCGGCGACTTCGCCCGAGGCCTCGCGGGCCCAACTTCTCCCCACCCCCAGGGTCACGTCGGGTCCTAGGGGCCTCTTTCAAGTTTGAAAGCCCTGCAGGGGCACGGAGAGCCCACAGTGAGGATGGGTGGGTGCCGCCGCTCCCGGCCAGGCTCTACTGTCGTCCCGCCTCGCCTTGCCCTTCGCCTGCAGGGCTTGACCCGGAGCCAACCCAGCTAGGCATGGCCGCCTCGCTCCAGAGCCCACCCAGCCCCCGGGTGCGGTCCCAGGCGTCGGCTGCCCCCGCCCCCCGCGCGCCCTCTGACGCAAACGCACGCCCCTGCCCGGCACAGAGGAAACAGCTCTTGTAGGTTTTAATTGAGCCTCTTCCTTTCAACACTCCCCTTCTCTCCCCACCCCTGGGACGCGACCCCCTCCCCGCCCCCAGCCCGCTGGCAGCGGCGCGAGGAGTCTGGCTCTGCTGCTAGGCTGCGAATCCCGGTGCTCTCGCCGCCGCCGCCGCAGGTTGTCCGCTCGGGAGAGCGGCTTGATGTCCCTTTTAATCCGCTGACACTATCGCCCACATCAGACAGGCAGCCATCGATCGCGTTACATTAGGGCATGGCGTTACAAACGGCGCCTGCAGGTGGGCGGCTGGATCCAGGCTGGCCAGGTTCTGGCCGCAACAGGCAAGGCACGGGCACAAGAGCCAGCCGGGCCGGACTCCTAAGCCGGCTCCACCGCGGGTCCCGCTAGGCACCAGCAGAAACAGCCTGTCCGGTGTTAAACGTGCGAGTCCCGGTCCCTAGCCTGGGCAGCTGTTTCCCGCCGAGGGGGACATAGGGAATAGCAGGTAGGGGTGGGGGCCGCCTATTTTGAATGTGGATTGCTGCTGCTCGCCTGGCACGATCCTCTCCTCCAGGGAAGTGCGGCGGCCGAGATCCTTGCCTTCGCGCCGGGGCGAGACAGAGGCCGAGCGAGGGCAATTCCCGAGCAGGCCCCGCGAAAAGTTCTCCTCGTCCCGCCCCGGCTGCCTAGACTCTGCTCCCGGCCCGCGGAGGCCGTGCAAACCTAGACTGCCTCCCGGCGCTGCCCGTCACCAACCCCAAGTTCAAGAGAAACGATAACCATTGCGTTACTTGCCTGGTGAGGCAGGATTTGGCCGAGTCTCGTTTCTGGTGCCCACGACGCACGGTCCAGGGTCCGAGGGCGGCTGGGCCTGTGGACCGGGCGTCCAGCGTGCCTGCGGTGCCCTGGTGCTCGCTCTTGCTCGTCTCCCACTCCCTCCGTCTCTCTCCGGGTTCTCCTTCCCGCGCCCTGTCTCCCTCTCTTTGCCTGCTGCCTCTGCCCTCGACTCCCTGCCTCTGGCTGTATGGGGAGTACGATTTAGAATTTGTACATAGAAAGGTTTTCTTTTCTTTCTTTTTTTGGTCTATTTTAATCGTGTTCGTTTCACCTTTTAAGTGACCAGAAGATGGGAGCGCGTTTGCGCGTTTATTTGGGCATAGGGGCGAGGGCAAGGAGCCCCTGCCAGCCCCAGTCGCCTCCTCGCCATCAGCCGCGTACAATGGGCCAGCGCTCGCGGAGTGCATTGACAGTCTCTCCATCATTCGAGCTGGAGGGGCTGCGGGGCAGGCACCGGAAAGCCTTGTAGTCTGCTCTTTAAAATCATCGCTCGTCACTAAGCGGTCGCCGACTCCCGGCCTGTAGGCTAGGGAGACCGGGAAGCGCAAAACGTCCCCCAAACACGCAGTGCTTCCCAAACCCCTCCCTGGTGAGACCTCAAGTGAGAACGAGTATTAAAAAACAAACCCTACCTCTGTCAATACAGCGTGGCCATTTACTTCCACCTTTACCTGAGGGCGTGTTGGCGCTACGAATGCTCGAGCTGAGACAAACTTTTACGCCCTCGCGAGTCGAGGGGCGGGCGGGCAAGAGCGGCTCCCACCCCCGGCGGCGGCAGCAGCGGCTTTGTCACTCCGCGCCGCTCCGCGCCCGCCTGAGCCTGCCTAGGGGAGCGATCTCAAAACGAGGGGGGTGCGAGTATGCGATTGGAGAATATGTAACTAATAGAAGTATCATTTTCCCCCAGTACGATCTTTCAAGGAAAAAAAAATCCATTGAAAGAATTTTCAAAGTGCTGTCTTCGTTTGGAGAAAAGGCACAGGCTGCCTGCGGGGAGGGGAGGAGGGACTCGGCGTTGTGCCGCCCGGGAGCGGCTCCCGTCCGCTAGGTGGCAGCCGGAGCCAGCGATTCCTGCGAGCCCCGCCGCGGGACCCGCTCCTCCCGCTGCCCCTCCTCCCGCGCCCAATCACCTTCGGGAACCGGGGTCTCTC